TGTAATATATGACGAGTGATCACGTTTCCTCGGATCGTGCATGTTATTTCAATTACATATTGTAATATATGACGAGTGATCACGTTTCCTCGGATCGTGCATGTTATTTCAATTACATATTGTAATATATGACGAGCGATCACGTTTCCTCGGATCGTGCATGTTATTTCAATTACATATTGTAACATATGACGAGTGATCACGTTTCCTCGGATCGTGTGTTTTAAACATCATAAACTGATAACCCTAGTCGTAAGGTAAAACCAGTATTTTTGGAGTTTACACATTAAATAAAGAATCAAAATGTCAACGACTTAGTATCCTTTTACCTCGTTCCACACGCCCTTTGTAAACTTAAATCCTATTTAATGAGATGTAGTCAGACAAAATATAATGTAAATTGTGTATAAATGATCATCTCTATTATAACAGCAAAGTGGCAAACACAAATATCATGAACAATGTTCAAACAACATTTTCTTGTCACCTGTGGGATAGGTTTTGCAATCGAATTAAAATAATGGTTATAATCCATGCTTGAGAGCTTATAACGCAAACATTTACAGTTTGATCACTGCGGTGGGCACAGCGCAGATGACCCACTTTATAGTTTTGTGCTTGAACAAAAAATCGAACAAGCCAGACGTGACGAGTTTGTTCTGAACACCGCTGTATAATATATTTATCTCTAGTTATTTCTAATGCATATTCGTAATGAAAACAAGTATAACCGCATTTTTTAATCTAACCAAGATTGTTTTAATAAATCGTGCCGTTTTCGAAGGCAACGCTTAATGCATGCAGAACGAAAGTTGTCAGAAAACGGCATAAGGTTAAACCTTAAGCAAGTTTCTTTGTTGTCATTTGTTTTTGGCTAAGACATTTTAGCTGTTTTGGCTTCTGAAGAAGGTTTGTCGAAAGTGTTATGCCAAATAAATGTAAACAAAAAAGATTCACAATAGAAATATGATTTAAGGTTAATGCAAAGTTATTTACACGTAGTCACTTGATCACCGCAACAATAATAACCTCGGGGACCCAGAGTGTGGACAGGCATGTGTAGTGATTTACACGTAGTCACTTGATCACCGCAACAACAATAACCTCGTGGACCCAGAATGTGAACTGGCAAGTGTAGTGATTTACACGTAGTCACTTGATCACCGCAACAATAATAACCTCGGGGACCCAGAGTGTGGACTGGCAAGTGTAGTTATTTACACGTAGTCACTTGATCATCGCAACAACAATAACCTCGTGGACCTAGAGTGTGGACTGGCAAGTGTAGTGATTTACACGTAGTCACTTGATCACCGCATTAATGATAACCTCGGGGACCCAGAGTGTGGACTGGCAAGTGTAGTGATTTACACGTAGTCACTTGATCACCGCAACAATAATAACCTCGGGGACCCAGAGTGTGGACTGGCAAGTGTAGTGATTTACACGTAGTCACTTGATCACCGCAACAACAATTACCCCGTGGACCCAGAATGTGGACTGGCAAGTGTAGTTATTTACATATAGTCACTTGATCACCGCAACAACAATAACCTCGGGGACCCAGAGTGTGGACTGGCAAGTGTAGTGATTTCCTCGTAGTCACTTGATCATCGCTTCAACAATAACCTCGGGTACCCAGAGTGTGGACTGGCAAGTGTAGTGATTTACACGTAGTCACTTGATCACCGCAACAACAATAACCTCGTGGACCCAGAATGTGGACTGGCAAGTGTAGTGATTTATTTCCTGTTAAATGAAATAGGTAAGACTAGTTGTTTGTAGTTAAACACAAAGCTACACAATGGGCTATCTGTGCACTGCCCACCACGGGTATCGAAACCCAGTTTCTAGCGTTGTAAGTTTGCAGACATACCGCTGTGCCACTGGAGGGTAAGACTAGTTGTGAAGTCATTTTTTTCAGAACTTAAAATGAATCTGAAAAAGTACGAAAAATCTCTTACACAATTCGCATCCTCTCAGCGTCCAATCAATCACACAAAATATTACACTTCTTTGGTGGTACTTCCTACATCGTGTGGCTGTCATAAAATAGCCCCATATTCAAGATAATGATGGTTATAATACCCCATGAGATAGTTTACACTACTTTTGATCGAGTCCTGCCAGACAGTGTAGTTTTTCTAGTTTCACACAAAAAAGCGATGACAAATGGAAGGGAGCAGTCCTGATTATAGTAAGTTTAAACAAGTATGATGTTAGAGCTAAACAACCATGATGATATTCAATACTGAATAGTTATAGTAATAGCTAGAACTAAAGAACTATGATGATATTCAATGTTGATTGAATATAAAAATAGTTAAGACTAACTAACTATGACGATAACCAGGATTAAATAATTATGACAATAGCTAGTATTAAACAACTTTGGTGATAACCAGGCTTAAATAATTATGACAATAGTTAGTATTAAACATAAAATGAAAATTATGATCAGATAACTATACAAGTACAAGGGCATTATTCATTATATGCAGGTTTAAACAGCTATGATATTTGAACTAGATCGATTACTGTCATTCAGATATAATTGTTTATTCACACCCGTCACAAATGCATTCATCTCCGCTATTTTACGATAATAATAATATTAAAAAAAGATCGAGAACCTTACCATCAATATATTTATTAACGTGATAGTAATACATTTCTTCACTTTTACCCGAACGATTTACGTGTGATAGTACATTTTGTTTGGAGAAGAAAATTGAACTATAGGGTCGAATATTTATCTGTTATTACTATTATTTATCTAACAGCCTGACAGCGACGAGTGGAGAAAGCGGGCGCGGCTTGTGACGGAATGAATGACGTAAGGGCTCGCGCTTGTTCGCAGATAGTTTCGTGTAACGCGGCATTGGGTAAACACCACACGCGTTCCTTCGACTTGCAGTATTGGCATCAAGAGACAAGCCTTACGACCACAGATTTTGGTGGAGTAAGTAAAAGAACAAATCAGAAGTAAAGCTACCTAATCTTTTCCAAAATAGAATACGGACCTTTCGACGAGAAGATATCTCTAAAATAATAATAATAATATATTTCTTTTGGAAATCTTTGAATTGTTGTGGCAATCTTTACTGTCGATTGATTGATAGAGATTTAACGAATGCGCTCACTTTACCTTCTTGTTAATCTGCAAAACTGCAAATGAATGACTTTTCTTGTTGTTTCTGAGTGATGGTAACGCCTAGAAAGAGAGAATGCACAAAGTGAGTCTTGCTGTAAGTTATAAAACAGAACACTGATAAAACAGATCTTCAAGATGATCTCATAAGAAGACCCGTTATCTGTGTTAGTTTTTTTTTGGTGCTTGTTTCTTTGAAAAGTGGTAATAAACATATATTACAATGAAGTGGTCCTTCGCTTACTTAACACTACTTACTCTATTATGTTACTTATTGGAAGCTAAAAGTTATGCTGAAGGAGGAACTTTAAGGAGATCTCTTGTTCCAAACAAAAGTTCCATCACGATACGACGAGAGTCTCTTTATGAAAGAGAACGAACAACGTCCACTCTGAATATTATTGTCTTGGCTCCAAGCAATGATAAGTTACCTTATTCTCTACATAAAATCGTACCTGGAGTCTTGTATGCCATCCAAACCTTGAAAAGTAAAGGTCTGTATGAACGCTTAGGAGGTCGTCTAATCCAAATCATTTACAAAGATACGGACTGTTCTTCAACAACAGGACCTCTGGCAGCGTTTGACTTTTATGTATCTGGAACAGCAGACGTTTTTCTTGGCCCTCTTTGCCCATACGTGCTGGCACCTGTAGCAAGGTATTCAGCTACCTGGAATATTCCGCTTTTGACTGCTGGAGGTCAAAATAGTAACTTTGATTCCAAATATCCTCATTATCGTCTAACGACTCGTATGAACGGGTCCTACTCTCAAATCGGACATCTGTTCCTGGAACTGTTACAAAGTTTCACTGGAAAACGGTAGCTCTGTTGTTCCACGATTTCCGGGATCAGTCTTTAGGTCACTCCAACTGTTTCTTCACCTTTGGGGCTGTGTACACGGCTCTAGGTCGACAGTCTTTTAATGAGGTTTTTGACGAAACAAAACCGAGGAAAAAGACTTTCACAAACTACTCAAGAAAATATCAACAAAGGCTCGCAGTGAGTATCCACAGAGTTCAGTACTTAAATCTACTACTGTTAGATGAAAAAGTTATTTATAAAAAATGTTAGATGACACTGTAATTTAAACTATTAGTAAACAGGAAAGTCAACTTACCTTGATATTGTTTATTGTTATTCTATTGTATATTATTCGAATTATTTTTTATAAATGTCGGTTATTTATATAATACTGCGTGTAAGAGAAATGCTATAAATGCACAATAAAATCGCGTTCACAAATCAACTAAACCACGTTTAAGGTCCGTTTGTTGTTAAGCACAAAGCTAAACAATAGACTATCATGCACAATAAGATCGCGTTCACAAATCAACTAAACCACGTTTAAGGTCCGTTTGTTGTTAAGCACAAAGCTAAACAATAGACTATCATGCACAATAAGATTGCGTTCACAAATCAACTAAAGCACGTTTAAGGCCCGTTTTTGTTAAGCACAAAGCTAAACAATAGACTATCATGCACAATAAGATCGCGTTCACAAATCAACTAAAGCACGTTTAAGGTATGTTTATTGTTTAGCACAAAGATATTGAGTTAGTAAACGAACTTTTGAGTAGAAGTAAAGAAGTGTGTTATATATGCCATATCCAATGCTGACTAGGCCTTACG